TGTGAATCCCACGTTAGCTGATTTAGAGAATGATGATAGATCTCTATTGGTATGAAGCCTTTTGGGGAATCCCAAAGCAAAGCCGTGAGAGTTTATGCTCATAGCAGACAATATCGTACCATCGTGGAGATTCGTGATTCCTAACAAACAGTGATTGACCAATAGATTTTTTGGGCATTCAGATTGGAAACATTGATTTTGTCTCGATGCGGTTCTCCCCGAAAAGAGTAAGCGCTCACTCTTTGTTACGGGGTGCACCCCATTTTTTATTATTGGTCAAATAGGTTGCTGTTCCTTTAGGCCGAGACTCATGACTTTACCTGGTGATTCCTTGATTAATGTAGTTAGACGCACGCAAAAGCAACGTGGTTCGGGTTGAGGCTTTCCTTTATTTATTGAATGGAGAATATGATTTCCCTTCATTTAAGGTTTTTTTAAAGAATTATTTATTCAAAACGGGTTGAGGCTTCCTTGACTAAGATGGGCCGGCCCAATGGGCCGATTCATAGGAATCTTTTGGGCCGTCAACAAAATAACTGTAAAGCCCAATGACCAAAGTCGATCACATGTCCATCTTTTTTTTTGGGCCGTTTCATGGCAATCGTCACGCTATATTATCGACATGTCGTCACAGTTTCTGTGCCTCTTCCATGTCCCGACAAATTACATATGTACGGATATATGGAAAGTTTACCTCACGCATAAAAAGTAACTTTAAGAAATTAACTCTGACCGAAAGTTTTTACCGTGACTGTCCCCATACAAACGACAATATAAACATATTATATTATTATATATATATTTTTTACTTTTTACTTTTTATGAAGCAGACTGGTATCGTATCCTAAGTTCCAAACAAGTGACATGATTGAAATGTCCCTGAATTTGTCTAAATATTAAAGGACAAAATTTATATTTGGATTATTAGATTGATGCATTGGTTTTTTTTTTCTTTACCTGGGGGCACCTACTTTTGCAGTAGTTGCAATTGTATGAGAGGAAAAAAAAATATATATATATATATATATTTTTTATTTTAGTTTCGAAATATTTAAGATATTTTCCTGAAGGTTAGATCTTGTAACAATCTAAGTTCCCCCTTCAATGATATTGTCTGTTTTTGCCCGTTATGTATCGTCATCAGTCTCCCGACTTTAAAACGCGTTTATTAGGAAGAGGTTTTGTTTCATTCCCGTCTCTAATCAATGTGGGATCTCATAGTCTACCTCTCTTGGGGGACCAATGTCCTCGGTGTCTGCCTCTTGTACCATTTGTAACAGTTCAACCTCACTGCTAACAAATATGTTCACTTTGGCCCGTTAAGAAACGTGTCTACTAGAGAGAGATTTCCACATTCTTATAAGGAATGTTTCATTGGTTGGAGAGGGAAACGAAACATTTCTATTCTTGCTAACGAACGGATTTTAAAATTGTGAGGTTGACGACGATACGTAACGGGCTAAAGCAGACAATATCTACGTAGAAATTTAAAACGAAAGAAACCCTAATTGATAACGTTGAAGAGATGGGAATGGAAAAGGGAGGAGAAAAACCCTAGAAGGGAAGAAGGCAAAGGACAGGGGAAAAACTGAGAAAAAGAAAAGCAAAAAGGAAGGATTGATTTATTGGGTTTAAATTGGGAAGAGATCAATTGGGAAGGGAAGGGCAGAGATTTGTGGGGTTGGCTGTCCTTCACCAAACCTCCCTCCCAATACCCAAATGGCCTTCAATTGAAGGACAATAACCCTACCTTCTCATTTTGTTTTCTATATTGATATCAACATAAACGGCTCGAGTTTAGGGTTTAGGGTTTAGTCCATATGTGAGTCCTGATTTCCTAATAACATCCAGATCTAACATTACTAAGAATAATATTGATTTTGTTTTCTAATATTGACTCACGAAATCAATCTAAAGAGTTAACGTTTAGAGTTTTAGTCAAAATGCCTTCCCTCAATTCATTGTTGAAAACGTATGTTTAGGGTTTAGGGTTTTCCTTCCGAGCGTCCCCTTAAGAGCATCTCCTCAAGGTTTTAAGACGGCTAGGGAGAGGTTTCCACACCCTTTTATAAGAACTTTTCCGTTTCCCTCTCCAACCAACGTGAGATCTCACATACCACTAAACCCTCAATCGCGAGAATCAATTCTATCCTAGAATTGCATAGACTTAAATATTTCAAAAGACACCCATACCAATTAGGGACAACGTCTTTGATGATCATAGACTTCAGTGAATAGCAATCGGAGTATAATTCAAGTAGTTAAGACATATATTTTCTGTAAAAGAATTCAACAGTACCATGAAATTGCACGTTTTGGTGTGACCTAAACAGCCAACACGTCTCAAATAATTTGCGTATGTCCTTCAACGTCCCTTGTGAAGGAAGAAGGTGTGCATTATTTGAAGAGATGGAGGCCCCTTCATTTTGTTCTTCTTTTTGAAGGAATCTAATTGTGTCCTCAAAACCCTTCAAAACAAAGGCATATTGATATTCAATCGCTCTTCAAAATGTGAATCGAAATAGCATTGAGTAAATTGAGGAAGAATCTGCAGGCACCCTTCTTCAAGGGATTTGCAACATGAACCACTAACATTATTTGCTTCTTTTTCACTAAGTTTATCATGCCTCTTCAATAATCTAGATACACCATTCATACTTGATTTGATATATTACCATGCACGTCTTCGTGATACGTTTACTAGATGTAAATCGTCCACCGCTACTAAATATTGTTCACTTTGGCCCTCGGCCTCACAGTTTTAAAATTCGTCTGTAAATCATCCACCGCTACTAAATATTGTCCACTTTGACCTTCAGTCTCACAGTTTTAAAACCCATATGTAAATCGTCCACCGCTACTAAATATTGTCCACTTTGACCCTCGATCTCATAGTTTTAAAACCCGTTTGTAAATCGTCCACCGCTACTAAATATTGTCCACTTTGACCCTCGATCTCATAGTTTTAAAACCCGTTTGTAAATCGTCCACCGCTACTAAATATTGTCCACTTTGACCCTCAGTCTCACAGTTTTAAAACCCGTTTGTAAATTGTCCACCGCTACTAAATATTGTCCACTTTGACCCTCAGTCTCATAGTTTTAAAACTCGTCTGTTAGGGAGAGGTTTCCACATCCTTATAAGAAATGTTTCATTCCCCTCTACAACCGATGTGAGATTTCACAATCCACCCCCCTTGAGGTCCAAGCGTCCTTGCTGGCACACTACCTGATCTCTGGCTCTGGTACCACTATAACAGCTCAAGCCCACCTCTAGCAAATATTATCACCTTTGTCCTTTAGCCTATAAGAAATGTTTCGTTCCCTTCTCCAACTGACGTGAGACCTCACAGTAGAACTCAAAGAAAGGCGATCATGTATGAGATTTATTTAGCTACCAAAGAATGCTCGGATTTATCTTTCAGAAAATTCTTATATCCAAATTCTTTTTTTTTCCTTTTGTTCTTCATTTTTTACGTTTCTCGAGACCGAGCGTTCAAATCCTCAAACCCTACTTATTGTACTTATAACTAAGGTAGGATGGGAGATCGAACATCGTAGATAAAGCCGTGCTTATGAAAACGTTTATAAGTTTAATTAATTTTAAATATAAAGATTAAAAAAATGATTCTCCATTTCTCAAAGGAAAAAAATAAATAAATAAAAAGAAAGAAAAAAAAATGGAAAATGATTACTTTAGTGAAAAATATAGAAGAATTGGTGTTTTGTGAATAATGGGACATTGACTTAACATGTATACATAAATAAAGGACATTGGTAAAGTATTATAAGTGGCTTTCAAGGATGATTGATCAAACATGGAAATCCGTACAATCCCTTTTGTTTTGTAATTTTTTTTTTTTTTATTTTTTTTTATTTTTTACCATTCACCCAATTTGAGTACCAAAATGAAATAGATTTGAGCTCGTGACTGTTTTATCTCGTTGGAATGCGACCGTAGCCCTACGTTAACTACAAAACTAAAAAACCGTACGTATATAAAAAACCCTTTACGTGAAACAAAAAGTCGAGCGTAAGAGCTTATGACTAAAATGGACGAATTATATCATCCCATGTCTTGATGTTAGTTGTGTCGGTAAAATTTTGGGTGTGTTAAACATAAGATGGTGGGTCTCGATGATATCGTCATAAGAAGATATTAGATATGTGGTTGAAGCTTCTATTGGACTTTTCCCCTACCCGATAGTTATATGCAGTAAGCTGTTGTTGCTGTATTTTGCTTATATTTCCATTTCTCCAATCTTACCTTCAAAACTCTCTTTCGAGATCTCTCTTTGCTCTTGTTTTTTAAAACTTTCTTCTTGAATTGGGGCTAGAAACTTGAGTATACGTCGCTTGGCTGTAGACGACGCAAGAACGAATAAACTTAACTCACTTGTTATTGGGAAGTGAGTGCCACACAATTGTAAATCTGCTCTTACCATTTAATTAGACGAAAGAATGGTTAGGATTAATTTTTTTTTTTTTTTTTTTTTTTGAAGGAAAAAGTTACCTTAAATATAGGGTACAGTTTTGAAGGAAGGTGGTAGAAACATAGATGGGGTGTTGGAGTGAGGTCAATTTGGTCGGAATAAAACCGTACGATCAGGTAGCCGTTTGACGGCTGAGATCTTATGATGAGATTAAACTTGCACAAGTATCCTTGATGGTGGGTCCAGATGAGATTGGTTGCCCATTAATTATCTCCATCAGCATGACCTCCAATTTTTAGGGTTTTTTTCTCCCCCCAAATCATGCCAATCAAGAATCTCTCGACTACCAAACTTTTATTGTGGGCATGATAATTGATACATTAGAGGTGTGTCGTTTTTAGTCTTCTCGTATTAGGGAAAGGTCCTCTCAATGCTCTAACACCCACACTAGATATGGACCGAACTGTCTCACTGAACTCAGCTTACACCCATGAAATACAGAGACGAGATTAGGGGATAAAAAAGCTCCAAGATTTGAAAATTTTGAGACAAAAATAGAATAAACCTCGAAATACAGAAACCCAATTAGTCTTAAACGTTATATGACAAGAGAATCGAGGCATTATCGTATTGAGATATGAATAATAAGGGAGAAAAAGCAAGCAATATGGGCCATAAGATGTCTACTCAATAGCTCCATGATTTGATTTGCATCCTCTACCACTCTTGTTCCCTATTCATTTCACCACCAAAATTGAAAGCTTCCCCTCAAAATCAAGCTCAATTCTGAATTGAATCACCAAAAGAAGAAGAAGAAATAATGTCAATTGTTGAAGGAGGATCTTCCTCAAGTTCTTCACCTCACCCAACCCCAAGTAGATATGAGTCCCAAAAGCGAAGGGATTGGAACACATTTTGCCAATATTTGAAGAATCAAAGGCCCCCAGTTCCTCTTTCACAGTGCAGCTGCAGCCAAGTGTTGGAGTTTCTTAGATATCTGGACCAATTTGGTAAGACCAAAGTTCATGTTCAAGGGTGCATGTTCTATGGCCACCCTGAGCCGCCTGCCCCTTGCACTTGTCCGCTAAGGCAAGCTTGGGGCAGCTTGGATGCTCTTATTGGGAGACTGAGAGCTGCCTATGAAGAACATGGTGGCGCCCCACAGAGTAACCCTTTTGCTTCTGCTGCCATTAGGGTTTATCTTAGGGATGTTAGGGAATGTCAAGCTAAAGCAAGAGGGATTCCTTACAAGAAGAAGAAGAAGAAGAAGAATGTTACTTCTTCTGTTCAAAGCAAAGGAGCTGAAGAATCAAGCTCAAGCTCCTCCACCATCCACTTTGTGCCTTGAGCAATTAAGCCAAAAAGATTTATATATGGTAAATTTAAGCTTAATTTTCTTGGATTCCTTTCAAAAAAATTGGTATTAAAGAAAACAAGTAGGGTTAGAATTAGGGTTTCTTTTTTAATTGAATGCAAAACCCATGTACCCGAGTCTAAGTTTTCTCGTCTCTACACTCATTCCCGTGTCACTTTATTTCAACGAGACCCTAACTTTTTAGTTGATGATATTATAGTTTAGCTGGTTGAATTATGAACGTATTTCAAATAAATATTTAACGATCTTTGTTCGTATCATTTCACTTCAAAAACAAGTCTTTTTAATCTTATAAAATCATTATACACTTTTGAAACATGAAGAATATGTTTCGGAGTGATTTTTAACTATTTTGGGAAGCGTTTTTTTTGGGGTGGCTAACATTTTTTGAGCTATGTAACTACTTGATTATTATGATATGTAATTTTGCAGGGACTAGAGTGGATGAAGGGACCAAAAAGTGTGAAGAAATAAGAGAAGTGGACAAGATGAGCGAGTGAATTGATAATCATCCTTGGTTTGGCTATTTTTATTATCCTTTCAAGTTCTATATATATATATATATATATATATATATATATATATATGAATGTATGTATGTATTGTCGAGGGGGATTGAATCTGCATGAAATTCCATTAAAGGCATTAGTCTTTATGATCAGAGAGTTTTCATTTCCCTTTTGCCTTTTGAATTTTCAGCTTTTGAAGTCTTTGAGATATCACAAAACTCTAAGAATGTACGTAACTTGATTCTGCTACTTTTTCCTTCAATATGTGCTTTGTCCTTCTCTTTCTACCAACTTCAATACTTTTAAACACTTTTAACGCCTGGTTAGTGTATAATTTTGAAATTTGTGTTTATTTGATTCATTTAATTTTATGTCTAATAAGTTTCTGTAAATTTAAAAAAATGTTTGGAAATTCTTTCAATTTCAACTTAAATGCGACTTTTAAAATCACATCTTAGACATAAAAACTAAAAATTTTGAAAAGAAAATTGGAAAAAAATAAAATAAAATAACAATCATTTCCATCCTTTAAAACAAAATTTTTGGAGTAAAAAGTTGAAGAAAAATTGGTTTTTAACCACGTTTTTCTTTTTAATTTTTTTTAAAAAATGATTATATTAATTAAAAATCTCAATCCAACTACCCAAGTAACAAAAAAAAAAAAAAAAAAAATCATAATTATTATTAAATAAATTGAGAAATAACACTAAAATCAATGAAAACCATCAATATTCATTTGATTTATAATCAGTTATTTGCATGTAAAAGAAGAAATTGAAACATATATAAAAATTTAGGGTTTCGATTATATAAATTATTTATTACATTTTTAAAAAATATATATATGCAGCTCTTTTTAGTTCAGCTTATATATAAATAAAATAAAAATGTTGCTGTCTCGACTCCAATAAAGCTTACTGGTAAAGAGATTGAGGCCTACGGAAACCAACAAATTGGACTTTGAAGCCTAAAGCATTTTAGGCTTTTCATCGAAAACGACTCAAAATTAATATACATTAACCCACTAATTGTTGAGGATTATTAATATACATTAATCAAAAGATTATTGGAAGTGAGTCGCACGTTCGATTAATTTAGAGAATAATCATGAGTTTATAAGTAAAAATACATCTCCATTGGCCTGAGACATTTTGGAGAAGCCCAAAGCAAAGTCATATGCTCAAAGTGGACAATATCATACCATTATGGAGAGTTGAGGTCGTCTAACTCTAATAGGATTAATTCAATGAATATATACATATTTTCTTTACATAAATAAATTCATAAAAATTATGAAAATTATTTAAGTTTATTAATGGAATTAATCAGTGAATATAATGAAAAATTGTGTACTTACCCACCAATGAACCAGACATTTCTTTTCTTTTCCCATTTATTCTCTTCAGTTCGTTCTTCTGTAAGCCCTGAAAGTCTGAATCATTCCTAATACCAAATTTATAATCGCTGAACAAAGAATCTATTAGAACAATATGTCAGGCAAATCCAGAGTTATTTAAACCAGGAAACATAATGAGTGTCTTAAAAATAAAAACATTATCCCCACGGGACCCTTTAGATGCCGTTAAAAATGAGAAATAGAAATAAAATTGGGATCGAAAGTATAATCTTCATTAATGCTTAGAACGTTTAAATAGGATACAAACTATCCACTAATACCTAAAAATGAAGAAAAATATATAGGATACAAACTATCCACTAATACCTACAAATGAAGAAAAATATATATCTAACTAAATATTGTAAATAAGATAAAAATATCCTGCTAATCAAATCTTTAAGATAAAATATACTACTAACAACTCCCAAAAATAAAGAAAAAAATATTAACTGATTATGGATATATAACTGATTACGGATATCTAAGATATACTCCATAACTAATTATTAAAATATATTCTCCAAATATCATATCTTAATAGATGCATACTATGTTTTTAAATTGTAACGTGGCAACTGGAAACCTGAATGCATGATTTCTGTCAATATTCCAACAAAATGTTTCAACAGAGCAATAATGGTCTATCTCTATCTCTATCTCTATCTCTATCTCTATCTCTAGCATGCATGAACAGGTCAAAGGCAAAACATAACACATGACACTTTCCCACGTGAGAATATTTCCTGGATTTACAATAATACCCTGTATTTGCACGTGCAACAGGAGGCTATATTCGTACTATCATTTTCTTTTTCCTTCGTTTAGAACTTCCATGGAGATAATATCAAATATAAAATATGACGCAGGACTTATTGGGAGAAATATAGAATACTCACTAACAAATAAACACAACTATATATATATATATATATATTTCAACAGCTGATTCAGATGAACAAAAAAAAACAGGTTATTAGATTGGTAGTTACTCACACGTAAACTGTTGGAAGCTTCATAAAAAGGGAGGAAATGCCTGGTCAATCCAAAAACTTGTTCCAATCCACTTCCAGGCAGCCCCATCAGATCCTCCAGCCAAAACCAGCTGAAATCGTGAGTTCGGGTACCTGCATCGAAGGCATCGATGTGTGCTTTTCAAAAAAGAGATAAACCGCCAAGTCTTTACTACTTTGTTGGTTAAGAGTAACAATCTGTTAAAAAATGGACGGACACAAGATTAGTTAACCTCGTTGTATGATATGTATATAAAAGCAAGTCATGAATCAGAACATTAGCACTAAATTTGAATTGTCATGACATGAGCAACTTCTGTATGCGTGCAGCTTACTCTGTTCTCTCTCTCTTTCCCCCTTTTTCGAGGTCCAAGGAGAAGCAATTAAGTGTCTTATTGTAACAAACCACCGCTAGTAGATATTGTCCTTTTTGGGCTTTCCCTTCTGGGCTTCCCTCAAGGTTTCAAAACAAGTTTGCTAGGGAGAGGTTTTGACACCCTGGTAGAAAAGGTTTTGTTATCCTCTCCAACTGATGTGGGATCTCACACTCATACGCCTTTCCACCAATAATATGCATAATTTTGATATTCGTAGAGAACATTATTAAGAATGAACAATAAAATAATCAACGTCCGCATCTGATATCAAAAGACTGAATGGAAAGAAAATCTACAATTCGATATTAAACATGTAATTATTCAACTAGAAGAAATTAGGATCAGTTGAATGCATCCAGCAATTGTTGCTCATTCAAGCATCAACAATTTAGCAATGAGGCTTTACCAATAGAGGCTCATAATAGATAATATTCAACATTTTTACCTTGCTAATGTTCTTGTGACATGCTTGATGCAGACTCATCTGTCATGTAAGAACAGCACATAACACTTGAAATGTAGTGGTTTCTCTTGTTTAATCATAAAGGCCAAAACTTACAATCCAGATGGCAAAGTTTGTTCTGAGCCAAACCAAAAACATCTCCTCCCACTAGGTCTTATCGAGGTAGATAATTAACCTGACATATGTCAAGAGACACCCAAACAAGTTTCCATTGCAGCGATGCAATGTGTCTTCTCCTCACATTCCCAGATTGGAAACGTGACAAAGCTGAGCTGAGCAGAAAGGGCAGCTCTCATTTTCTCGTTTTGGCAGTTACAGGGAGAAGGCACACCCTAGTAATACTTAGAAACATGGCTGTATTAACATATACCCTATTTCTTCCATACTAACTCGCTCAGTTATTCCTAAATCAGGAAACCATATGTGAGATCCCACATCGATTGGAGAAGAGAACGAAGCATTCCTTATAAGGGTGTGGAAACCTCTCCCTTTAGATGCATTTTAAAACCTTGAGGGAAAGCCCAAAGAGGACAATAATTGCTAGCAGTGGGCTTGGAATGTTACACCATAGGAATTCCCTTCTCCCCTCTGCGCAGACATGGATACGCAGCAGGTTAAGCTCCCATGTAGAGGCATGAAATTTATTTTAACTACTAGGCCATTAGATGATAAAACGAAACGGATTGAAGTAATGCATATTGGGGGTATCACGAATTCCTGTACAGAGTTCCAAAAAGACACCTTCATTCTCCTAAATACAAAATTTTCATCATTATTGCATCCCTGATCTGTGGATAGTGAGTTTAAGTCACTTTAAATCTCTAATCTCCAATGTTCTATTTGATCCTTCAAGTTAACATAAATGACTCATTTGCTCGCAACCAATAAATTCCTACAGTTCGACTTGACAAAAAGTTTACACGATAAAGTTTAACCTCAACAATCAAAGGTTTCATGGAAGCTTGAGACTCAAACCAAGATGATGTAAGTGTAAAATGGAAGACAATTTCTCCCGCTTCAAAAATAACACAAACTTAACTTACCCTCAGTCATGGTTCCATTCTTTGTTACGGCCTCATAAACACGGCCAAACTCAAAGTTTACGAGCAAGTGAAGTCAAATTTCGATTCGATTTCCTCCTAATAATCAATCATGTGAAGCGATTCTCTTCAAAAACTTTGATCTAAACAACTATTTCTCCTCTAATGCGAGCTCTATATAGCCAAGGAATGATCTGATCCACCTATTGGTATACTGCAAGTATTACGCGGAAGAACATACTGCTCTTTCATCAGAAATATATCCGAATATGTGTTAATTCTAATCTAAAGAAATCGAGCAAACATATGAAGATCCAAACCAAATGGGAAATCGTCTCAATCTAAGGTACCCTCGGTAAACAACAACGACGACAACGACTAAAGCAGGAAAGAATAGAGAAAGTAATAAAAGGAGTTAGAAGCTAAGGACTCACCGGCTCCAGATGCTCGCCTGGCGCGCTTGATCTTTTGAATCTGAAGTTGCATCTCCATAAGTAGTTGCATTCTCTGATACTCTAAATCCTTCACGAATTGCATCCGTTGCATCTCCAATTCTATCATGTGCCTCTGTTTTGCTACCTCCACTCTCTCATATATATCAGTGATCGTCCCTATTGCCTCGGCCAGTTTTCTATAACCTGCCTCTCTGTCCTTGAACCTCGAAC